TAAGGCCTGAGTGCTCTCTGAGCACAGTCCTGTGGGCTGGAAGCCCTTGGAGCACAGGCAGGGACAGGCCCTGGGAACTTGGGAAGCAGAGCTGGACTCCCTTCCAGCATGTCCAGGATGCTGTGGGATCTTCTGAGGCCACTGCATGTACTGGGTCACTCCTTCTGTGACCTTGCTCCAGGGCTGGAACTCTCCTGCAGTGTCACCATGACACTCCTGCTCTCTGCTTTCCAGGTTTCACTTTTAGATCCAGTCTTCCCCTCCTGTTCACAGGGACATCCTGTGAGTGCTTCAGAGCTGCCATCCTGGGGCAGCTCCTGCCCAGCGTGGGCAGGCACAAGGTCTCTCCAGCTGCTCCTCTCACCTCCCCAGGGCCACTGTTTTCTGCAGCCTCCTCATCCTTGCCCAGCAAAACCCCCCTGGCAGAGTTGGACACAGCCCTTGTTCTACACCCTCCTCAGGCACCTGCCCAACCCCCTCAGCTCCAGCCTGATGGCCACAAACTTTCAGGGCAGGGAGGCACCAGGGAAAATGCTGAGGAAACCTTTCAGCTGCACTCAAATCCAATTGGAGGGGTTGGCCTCGAGGAAGAAATCCCTTCTCATTCTCCAGAACCACCAGGACAACCTGTGTTGTGTCCTGGGCACTCCTCTGCAAGTGTGGGCTATGGAAAAGGTTTTGGTGTCAGGGATATTGAGAATGCTGGGCAGTGTCACTGGGAGACCTCTCCCAAACACTGGGAAAGGCCAGAGCCATCCCAGAGCTTCCTGGGGCCTTGGCAAAGGCAGACATGGAAGCAGTCTGCAAAGAGGGCAGCAAGGAGGGTTGGCAGAGTTCCAGCTCAGGCTGGGAAGGGGATATGGGAAGTCCTCCTCCAGCCATTCCCAGGCATGGGAAGGACAAGGCAGGGATTGCAGAACCCCTGTGGGAGAAAATAGAAGAGGATCCTGTGTACCCAGGCTTTATCAAGGCCCTTGACATGGTCTCATGTGATCTCCTTGTGGCCAGACTGGTGAGATCTGGGCTGAAGAAGTGGAAGATGTGGTGGATGGGAAGTTGGCTGAATGTAGTGTCAAATAAAATCCATGGTACAAAGTCCTCTTGGCAGCAACTTCCTGATGAAATCCCTCAGTGACCAGCCCTTGAACACCACTATAGAACATCTTTATTAACTCTCTGTAAAATGTGACAAAATGGATTTTTAAGTCCTTTGTGGATGATTCCAAATTTCAGGGAGCCCTTGAGCAACCTGTCCTGGTTTAAAGACACATATTGGGGCGGAAACTCAAATAAAATGAACTCACTCCCCTTTTATTCTCCACCACTACAGGGAGACAAAATACAAGGAGGTATAAGTGAAAAAAATAACAGTTTACTAATGAGAAATATAGTAGCAATAAAAATATCAACAGAACAGTTCAAAGCAACATCAGAGAGAGAAATTGCCTCCTCTCTCCCCCCCGCCCCAACTCCCTTTTGTAAACAGATAAAAACAGGGATCAACACGTGCCTCCCTTCCCCCTTTTCCCCCTGAATGAACAAAGAACAAAAAACAAAACCAGGGGAAAGAGGGGCCAAAGCAAAATCTGGGAAACTCTCTGGTCTGAGATCAGTTGTGCTGCCCAAGAACACGCTGACTCCAGAGGTGTCCAAGTGGGGCAGAGCCGGCGACTCCGGTCCATGTGGCAGTGGGGGGGAGGCAGCGGCTCTACTTGATTCCATGGAGTTCTGGGGAGGCACAGTGGCCCCTTGGTTCCATGAGACTCTGATGTGGCTCAGGGTTCCTTTTGTTCCAAAGACACCCCTCATGGCACAATGGTCCCTTGGTTTGCTGGGATTCCACAGTGTCCCTGCATTCCTTTGGTTCCATGAGGCCCTGCAGTGTCATGGTGCCACTTGATTCCGTGACATTACCAAGAATCAGAAAGGCCCCTTGATTTAAGGCCAACTGCACATGGGGCTGCCTTGGGGGGAGTGTGGGCATCCAGACAAGGGAGTTGTCACCCCCCTGGACTCAGCCCTGGGGTCACCACATCTGGACTGGTCTGTCTGTCTGTGAGGTTCCCCATTCCGGAGAAATGAGGAAGAACTGGAGAGAGTCTAGAGGAGATCTGACAGAATGGAGCTTTTCTTGATGCTGGAAAGAAAAAGAAACTCGCAAAGTGCAGCTTGGAAGGTTCAGACTGAAGGTGGGGAAAAAGGAATGTTACTCAAAGTGGAACCTTATGGTGCCAGAGGTCACTAAGAGGGTGATGGCCTGGTTTTGTGTTCCAGGGAACAGCCAGAGCTGGTGCAGAGACATCAGGGAGGGTCTAGAAATGCTGCTGGGAGGGGGGTGGGAAAGCAGGAGGGGTGTGTGCAGCCTGCAAGGCCAGAGCAGCAGCAGGGCCAGGGCAGGACAGCCTGCAGGAGAGATGGCCAAGGGCTCTGGCAGGGCTGCAAGGCCCAAAGGCACCCAGGCCTTTGTCCCCTTGCCTCTGCCAGCTGCCTCTGCCACTCAGGCCACCACAAGCAACTTGCCTTGCAGGTTCTGCACTTGGTTTCTGCCTCGCCCCTCCCTCAGGAGCCTGGCAGGGGTTGCCCAGTTTTGGGCCTTTGTTGTTCCTCCCCCTCCCATCCCACTGCCCCCCAAACAGCCCTGAGCCAGCCGGGAGGGACAGGATCTTCTGGACCAGGGCCTGGGGCTCAGGTCTTGGCCTCTGTGCTCCACAAAACCAAGGCAGGCTTTGCTCAGCATTGCAGGGGCCTGCCCAGAGCCTTTGTCTGCCTGCACTCCTGGCCTCCAAGGATCTGCTCCAAGGAGTCCCTGGGGAGGCTTTGTCACTGCCTGCCCTCAGTGAGGCCCAGCAATGCTTCAAGGGACTTGGAGTTTGGCTTCTGACTTCTTGAGCAACTGCTTCAATCTTCTCTCAGTACCTCAGCATCATGGGCTGGGCTGCAAACACACCGTGGGGCTCATTAAAATGCAGAAATCCCTCAGGATCTCTTTGTCTTCCTTTAATTGTCTTCAAGGCAATTTCAAAACAAGTCTTCAAATTTTGTACTTTTTTTGTTTTAATTCAAGGATGGATATTTTTTAGTTCAGAGAAGAGGTGACAGAGGTGTTGTCCCAGTGATCTTGATGCTGAGTGTCTCCTCAGGAGATCCAGACTGACCCTGTATGATCAACCTCGCTCCTCACCCCCCAGCCTCACCAATTCTGACATGGTCCATCTTGGACTGACAGCTGATGCAGCTCCAAACACACTGTGGGACTCATTAAAACACTGAAAAACAAATTATTTCCCTTCCTTTAATTGTCTTTAAGTCTTCAAGACTTGAACAGCTAATTGGAGTTGTTTTGTAGTTTAGCTAAGGAGGGAGATTTTAAAGTGGACATCACGAAAAATATATATTTTTTGATGAAAGAGAATGATTTACAAAGAACCTTGGGATTCAAGAGGGTCAGGGCACAAAGGATTTGGATCCAAAGACAAGGGGGCAAAAGTAATTAGTAGTGCTTTATCATTGACCAGTTGAACAGTTATCAAGTGGTTCAATAGCATGTGCTACAATTTTAACAGTGACTGAATTGTAGATTCACAAGAACAACATTCCCACCTCAGTCAATTCACACCCACACCCAGGCAGAGATGTGTGGACACATCAATAGCTGGGTGTGGAAAGGTCCCTCTCCCAAATTCTCCTTGTTGTCAGGGAAACACTGCCCCAAATCCCTTTGTGTTTCCCAACAGACAAGGGTCACAGCTGGAGGAGTGTTTGCTGAGGGACATCAGAATTGTCCTGGGCATCAGTGAGGTTCTTTGGAGTGCTGCAAACTGGAGGGTTCCCGAGCTGCGAGAGGCTGCCAGAGGTGTCCCACTGAGGGGGAGGTGCTGGGGAGCTGGATGAAAATGAACAGCAATTTTCCTAAAGCAAAGAACCAAGCAGAAGAAAGCAAGGCCCCAGCAGCTTCAGAGCAAAGGTCCCCCCATCCCTCTGTCCCCTGTGGCCGCTGAGGCGGCAGCGCTGGCCCGAGGCGGTGCCGAGTCCCGGTGCAGCCGGGGCAGAGCGGCGGCTGCGCGAGCGGCAACCCCGGCGGTGAGTGCGGCAGCCCCGTGGCAGCGGCGGCTCCAGGCACAGACGCCGGCGGCAGCCGCTGTGGCGGCAGAGCAGCGACTCCGAGGCGCTGCAGGAGCGCTGGCTCCGCTTCCAGGTGCCGGCAGTGTTGGGAAGGCGGTGCCGGGCGGCTGCGGGGCAGCGCAGGCCAAAAGCGGCAGCGGCGGCAGCCTCGTGGCAGCGGCGGCTCCGGGCAGACACGGCCCCGCTCCAGCGCTGCCGCCTCAGCGGCGCTCAGGGGACGGCGCGGCGGCTCCGGGGGCAGCGGCCGGGGACTCCCTCTCGGGGCAGCCCCGGGCACCAAAGAGGACCAGGGCCCAGCCTGTTCTCAGCTTGGTTCTCTCGAGTTCTCCCGGCATCTGAGCACAGGATGGGATGGGGAAATTGAGCTAAACCACAACGGGACCTCATGGAACCAAGTGGCCATTGGGACACTGCAGGGCCTCCTGGAATCCAGGGGCTGGTGGGACACTGGGGAGCCTCTTGGAGCCAAGGGAAACTGGGATATGTTGGAACATTATGGAATCAAGGAGCCATTGTGACACTGAGAGGCCTCATGGAACCAAAGGAACCCTGAGAGTTTTTGGAACCTCATGGAATCAAGGGGCCATTTCTGGCAGGATGCTCTGCTCTGAATATATATAAGAAATGGTCAGAGAATGCAAACAATGCAAGCTCTCTGTGGTGAGTTCCTGCTGGTGCCAACGTGCTGTTTTTAATGTTGAATTATGCTAAACCCAAAATGGTTCATGGAACTTCAAACACACATCCTACTTTTGGATTGGACAGAGAAGCTGCTCCCTGGCCTGCAAATAGGTCTGGCAGTCAAACCCTTGGTAACTATAAAAGCCCCGTCCCACTTCCATGTGGCAACTTTGTCTAAGCCTTCCACCCCCCCAGCCTCAAGCCGTGACACATGGGCATGTCTTGTCCATGCAGTGCAAACTTGGACTCCTGAGCTGGTCATTTGATGTCCCTTCTTGGAGGGAAGAAGAAGCCCAATGGCCTGGGGTGAGAGGCCAGTGCTGGGAGCGGCACTGGCTGTGCCAGGGCACTGCTGGGTGCCCCCACCCTGAGCACTCCCACCCTTGTGCTGGTCACTGCTGTTTTCCTCTGCAGGGTGTTGTGTTGGGCACATCCTGGAGAGCAAACTGGAAAGCAGATTGAAGCTTTCAGGCCCTGGCCTGAGGAGATGGCCCTGCAGGATGGCAGTGCTGCTGCAGAGGTCAGCTCTGTGCCAGCAGTGCTGTGGCTGTCCCTGCCTGCAGTCCCTGGACAGTCCTGCAGCAGGACTGGGACCGACTGCCAGAGCACTGAGGCCTCCAACAACACAGGGCTCTGCAGGACAGTGTGGAAGGGAAAGAAGAAGAGGCCACGTAGGAGAAGGGCTGCTGCTCCCTGGCAGTGCTGCTCTGCTGGGACTCTTTTTTGGCCCAGCTCTGCACAGAGGCCCCGACCCTGCAGCTGCAGAGAAGTCAGAGAGGAAAGATGTCCGGCAAGAAGTCAATGTAGAGTTCTTTATTTGGTTTAAGCACACACTGAGTAAAATTCCCAATTTGTACAGCCTCTGGGCCAGGCTAGAAAGGCAAACATTGAATTGAAAATGGTGTTTATATATATATAAATATATATATGTACCTTTATATATATGTATTTATAGATATAAAGATTTTTTGGTGTGAACAAATTCTCACAAAAAAACCACCCCTACTAGGAGCAAAAAATAGAGAAGATATGGTGGGCCTTTATGGAAGCACATAACAGGATTGGCCTTTAATGAGGTACATACCATGCAGAAGAAGGAGAGTTTATTGTTTCTGAAAAACACCCAGTTATCAGTTTCCTCAGGGCATCCTTGATCTCCTGGTTCCTGAGGCTGTAGATGAGGCGGTTCAGTGATGGAGACACCACTGAGTACAGAACTGACAGAGCCAGATCCAGGGATGGGGAGGAGATGGAGGGGGGCTTCAGGTGGGCAAACGTGATAGTGCTGAGGAACAGAGAGACCACAGCCAGGTGAGGGAGGTACGTGGAAAAGGCTTTGTGCCGTCCCTGCTGATAGGGGATCCTCAGCACAGCCCTGAAGATCTGCACATAGGAGAAAACAATGAAAATGAAACAACCAAATATTAAACAGGCAGTAACCACAATAAGCCCAAGTTCTCTGAGGTAGCCTGAGTGTGAGCAGGAGAGCTTGAGGGTGTGTGGTATTCACAGAAGAACTGGCCCAGGGCATTGCCCTGGCACGGGGCAGGGAAAATGTATTGACTGTGTGCAGCAAAGAATAGAGAAAGCCAGTGGCCCAGGCAGCTGCTGCCATGTGGGCACAAGCTCTGCTGCCCAGGAGGGTCCCGTAGTGCAGGGGTTTGCAGATGGCAACGTAGCGGTCGTAGTACATGATGGTGAGGAGGGAAAACTCTGCTGTGATGAAGAAATAAAAGAAAAAGAGCTGTGCAGCACATCCCGCATAGGAGATGGTCCTAGTATTCCAGAGGGAACTGTGCATGGCTTTGGGGACAGTGGTGCAGATGCAGCCCAGGTCTGTGAGGGAGAGGGTGAGCAGGAAGGAGCCCATGGGGGTGTGCAGGTGGTGGTTGCAGGTTACGGCATTGAGGATGAGGCCGTTGGCCAGGAGGGCAACCAGAGAGATGCCCAGGAAGAGCCAGAAGTGCAGGAGCTGCAGCTCCCACCTGTCTGCGAATGCCAGGAGGAGGAACTGGGTGAGGAAGCTGCTGTTGGACATTTACTGTTCCTTAGCACAGGGTCTGTTCAGAAAGGGAAAGCCCAGGGAACAATTAAGACAGTCCCCTCTCAGCAAAGGCAGTGCAGTTTTCAGGGAAATCCCCTCCAAGTCAAAGCATTTCTTTTCTCTGGTTTGTGCTCTCTCAGGGTGCTGTGAGGAGCAGGAGCTCTGCCCATGTGCTGCCAAGGACTCAGCTTTGCTCTGCTGCAGTGCAGACATGGAGCTGGTTTGGGACAGCTCTCATGATCACAGGGGATGTCACATGGAACCCAGCTTTGATGGAAAATCTGAATTCCTGTACTGTTGTCTCAGAGCAATTTGGGCTGCAGGAGAAAGGCACAGTGTATCCTTCAAATAATTTTGACTGGTTGTTTTGGTTACAGTCATAACACCTGGGGATTGTTTTTTTAGAGACAAATTTTTCTGATGACAAATCTGAAGAGTGTTAAGACAGGACAGGCAGAAGGGCTGAGGTCTCCGCTGCTTATTGCAGAGCCAGGAGAGCTGCAGTGCCTCTCAGTCTGTTTCCCATCTGCCCTGCACTTTCCCTTGGGCTGCCTTGAAGATGACTTCACACACAGATTCATCTTTAAAAAGCCAATCAAGATCTGTGCTGAGAGCAGGGCAGCGCTGCTTGAAAGGGCAGCACTGGGAAGTGTCCCCTGTGCCAGCCCAGAGGTGCAGCTGTGCTGGACAGAGCAGGACAGTAGCCCTCCCACAGAGAAGCCAAGGGCTGGCACAGGAGAGTGCCCACCCCCAAGGGAAGGCTCAGCACTGCTCAGAATCCTGTGCTCATTTCTGAGACTGCCTGAAATATTCATCTCTGAGAGGAAAAGCATTTGAATTTCAGTGCAGCCTTCTGAACTGAGAGAACAATGTCTCTGCTACAATGCCTAAGGTGGAGACACCCATCAGGACTAATTCCTTTCCTCTAGCCCCTGTCTTTTCTGAGTTTTGCAAAAAAATCTCTATTCAGTTTGGTGTAGTGGTGTGGAGCTGTGAGCAGGTCTGACCCTGCAACAGGGAGACATGGAAAAGATCCTCCCTCAGCTGCCAGGTTTGCTCCTTGCCCACAGCCCTTCTGGCCCAGCCCTGGGAGCAGCTCCCCGGGCCGGCTGAGAGCTGCCCCTGGCAGGCAGCAGAGTCCCTGCCCAGCACAGCGCCCTGGGCTGCAGGACCCTGCTCTGCCCCACAGCCCTGGGCACCCCTGCCTGCACCCCCGGCTTCACAGCTCTTCCAAACGGCCCGAAAACAGCCCCCTGCTCCCCCATCCCATCAGCTGGGGCTGGGCCAACTTTAGGAGATGCCTCCAGGAGCTGCCCCTGCACTGCCCTGCAGCCACAGACTCACTGTGTGCAGCCCTGCCAAGATTCCTCCTGCAGGGAGCTCTCAGCCATCCTGCCAGTGCTGAGCCCCTTGAAGCTGTCTGTGCCCTGCTGGTGTCCCTGAGCTGTCCTGGCAGTGCCCTCAGCCCTGCTGGACTGTGCAGAGAAGCTGCTCACCAGCAGAGCTGTCTCTTTGAAGCTCTTCTTGCTTGCCAGGAGCTCCCTGTGTGCCAGGAGCCCGGCCCAGCTCAGCAGCACAGCAACAGCCCCAGGCAGCCCTTGCTCTGCCCCTCTGGGCTCCCTCCAGTTGTCCCTGGTGCTCCAGGGGAACCTGCTGGCACACAGTTGAAGGAAATCGTGATGTTCCTTCTCTCCACTGGGTACAGACACTTCTTTCAGCACTGTCATTTCTCCAAACAGACACAGAGTTAAGTCCAAGAGGCCCCTTTTCATGTCTCATCATTAGACAGGAAACCCAGACAGTGCCCAGGAGGGATCTCCTTCACCTCCCCTGAGGGAAAGGACTCAGCTGAGTCAACAGAGGTGTCTCCTTGTGGCTTTGCAGACCTGGGGCCACAAGGACACTCAGCTCCCTCCACAACGCCCATGGGCTGGGATTCCTACTGCCCCACTTCAGTGGGCACAAAACAGGCCCATGCAGGTGACTCCTTGTCCCAGCTGCCATGGGAATGAAGGAAGACCAAAGCCAGGAGTGACCTGCTGGGATACAAAGCCCTGGTTCCTTCCGAGGGGCCAGAGGTGACCGAGATTCCTGCTGGGCCATGCAGGCTCCAATGGAGCATTTCCTAGGGACAGGGCAGCAGCTGTGGGATCTTCTTGGAGGTTGCTGGGACTTTGCTTTGGCCAACTTCAGTGGCAGAAGGGGCCCACATGTAAGACAGGGGAACCTGTCACTCTTCCTTCTGTCCAGGGTAGCCCATAGAGGTGCTCAGGTGACCAAATGGAGTCAGGTGGCACAGGGAGAGAGGTCTCTCTCCTGTTCTTTATCAGGGTATTTTCTACATGTCCTCAGAGTACAATGGCAGTTGTCTCCTGGACATCCCTTCACTGCTGAACCTAATTCAGGGCAGTTGAGCCTGGATTGAACAGCCAAAGAGGGGGTTGTAGTGCCAGGGGAGGTGCCAGGGCTCTGCAGCACAAGTGCAGCAGCTGCCATGGACAGCACAGGGCCTGGACAGGAAGCCTGTCCCCATTCCCAGCAGTTGTGGGACAGGCACCACCCAGGGCTTCTCAGACACATTGGGTGCCTTTGGGGCAGTGAGTGAATCCCAGCCCTGCAGGGACACAAAGGCTGTCCCTTCTCTGCCCAGCCAAGGCCGGGCCAGGTACGAGTCCAAAGCACATCAGCCCAGGTTGTCCACACTTGTTTCCTCCCTCTGCTGGCTCTTGTCTCCCCCAGCATTTCAGCAGCATGTGTTGATCTCCTCTGGGATCAGGCCTGTGATTTTCCCCCTGGGCCTGAGTGCCAGCACGTCCACCCCCAAGGCCATTGTCAGCAAAGCCTCTGCACACCCCAGCTCTCGGGGCTTTCAGAGCAGCTTTCCCCACTGCAAGTCTGTTCTTACTCCCAGGGTACCACTGAGGGGCTGCAGCCAGACAGACCCCAATGCCTTGCATGTGGGGCACAGGCAGGAGGAGCTGCAGCCCCAAGTCTCTCTTCATTCCACTTGCAGGCAATAACAGCCCAGGCCTGCTGAGACAGTTCCCAGGTTGCAGGGCTGTGATGGGTTGGGAGGGAAGGCCAAGGAGACACAGGAGAGAAAGAGCAGGAGAGAGGTGTCCTCAGCAGGAAGGAGCTTCTTGGACCTGTGGAGCTGCTCTAGGGTATGAACAAATTGGGTGAACTTTAGTGGGTAGGGGTCAGAGGAGAGACTGGTTTGGGTGACATTGTGGAGTGAGACAAAGAGCGCATTCAAATTGGCTTTGATAACCCTGGAATTCACTGGAAAGGCACCACGACAGGATGCAAAAAGTCCCAGAGGTTTGTGCAGGGTCTTGGTCAAAACATCCCTTGGGACAGAGACCTTTAGAGCATAGTTGCCCGGTTGGTGGACAACAGGGAGGCTCATCTGCATCTGCTTCTGTCCAAGAGGAACCAAGAGGTTACCACAGAAACTGACCATAGCAATAGGAATGTCTGCTGGTTGCCATGGTAACTAACTATAGGAATAGGAATGTATGATGGTTGTCATGGTAACCGACCGTAGCAACAGGAATGTATGCTGGTTGCCATTATAACTGCCCATAGCAATGGAAATGTCTAATGGTTGCCATGGTGACTGACTGTAACAACGGAAATGTTTGCTGGTTGCCATGGTAACCGACCATAGCAATGGGAATGTATGATGGTTGCCATGGTAACTGACCATGGGACCAGCAATGTATGATGGTTGCCATGGTATTTGACTGTACCAGTGAGAGGTATGATGGTTCCCATGGTAACTGATAGTAGTAATGAGAATGTATGATGGTTGCCATGGTAACCGACTGTGCCAGTGGGAAGTATGATGTTTCCTGTGGTAACTGACCTTAGCAACGGGAATGTATCCTGTTTTCCACGGTAACTGCGTGTAGCAACGGGAATGTATGCTGGTCGCCATGGTAACTGACCATAGGAATGTGACTTTATGATGATTGCCATGGTAACAAACCGTAACAATGGAAATGTGTGATGGTTGCCATGGTGACTGTAGCAATGGGAATGATTGATGCTTGCCGTAGTAACTGACCATAGCAGTGGGAATGTATGATGGTTGCCATGGTAACCGACTGTAGCAAAGGATTATATGATGGTTGCCATGGTAACTGACTGTAGCAATTTGAATGTATGATGGTTGTCATAGTAACTGACCATCGAAGTGGGAATGTATGCTGGTTACAATGGCAAATGACCGTAGCAGTGAGTAGTATGATGGTTACCATGGTAACTGACTGTGAAACAGGATTGTATGCTAGTTGCCATGGTAACCAACTCTAGCAATGGGAATTTTTGCTGGTTGCCATGGCAAACGACCATAGCAGTAAGAATGTATGATGGTTTCCATGGTATCTGACCCCAGCAACTGAAATGTGTGATGGTTGCCATGGTAACTGACTGTAGAAAGAAAAAGGTATGCTCGTTGCCATGGTAACTGACCATAGCAATGGGACTGTAAGACGATTGCCATGGTTAACTGAGTGCAGTAATGAGAATGTATGATGGTTCCTATGGTAACCGACTGTACCAGTGGGAAGTATTATGGTTCCTGTGGTAACTGACCGTAGCAATGGAAATGTATGCTGGTTGCCATGGTAACGAACCATAGCAATAAGAATGTATGATGGTTGCCGTGGTAACTGAGCAGAGCGACTGGAATGTGTGATGGTTGCCATGGTAACTGACTGTAGCTACTGGAGTTATGATGGTTGCCATGGTAACCGACTGTAGCAAGGGGAATGTGTGAGGGTGCCATG